CATGTACTCCCTTAAGCTTATTTACACAAAGAGAAAATGTCAAACTTTTGCATATCTAAGGAAAGATCCAAATTGGAAATTATGTTATCTGTAATTACAGATTTTGAGTTATGACCCAGTTGACAATATAATGAAACTCAAGGCTTTCTTAAGAACATACCTAACAGTGAAGCTTCAGGAGGTCTGTCCGTGGACTCCTGGAAACCCGTCTGCTGAGTTAGGAATTCAGGCATGATTTAAGAGTGGACTTTCTTACAGAAAAGCTGGAACTCGTAGTATATTGTCACTTATGATAGTTTAATGTTGGTATTGACTGGATTTTCCAGAAAAAGCCAACCAATAAACACCTTTGGTGGAGACTGCACAGGCCTGATTGGAATTTGGGGATTTGGCAGCGTTGGAAAGCTGCAGATCCAGAGATGACTAACTGGGTTATCTTAGGTCCCACAACCTCTTGCAAACCTCTGTGTCTGACCTAGCATCTTCCTGACTGTCAATCACATGACACCTTCAGGGATGTGTTAACTGACCACAATCTTCCACCAACCCCATGCTAAGAAAGTCATGAGACAGCAACTGAAACCCACAGCAGGGGATGACCCCGTTTCCACCAATGAAAAACGTGCCTTGATCTGTGATTTTTCTTTTGTTCTGTAATTATAAAAGCTTCATGAAACTGTTTCCATATTAGAACATGGCATTTGGGGCAACCAGAATATGCTTTCCTGGGTAAGGGTCACTCATATTTGGCTCCAAAATAAGTAATCTTTTGTTCCTTTAGAGGTGAGTTCTGTGCCGTTTGTGTGTGTGTGTGTGTGTGTGTGTGTTGATTGACACCCAGCTTTTTAAAGTTAAGATGCCTATGAATAGAACATTATCCCCTGTAGTTTAAAGCTCTCTGTGGTAAATTTAGATGAGTGGAAACAATCCAAAGACCTAATCACCCACAGCTGCACTCATCTAGGCCAACTTCGTCTTTCAAAGTCATTAGCTCGTGGAAACATCCCCCCCTCCCATTTTCTTTCCTAAAGTGAATTGGGCAGCTGTCAATCATGGATGGGTTTTAGTTGTTGGAAATATTTTCTTTTAGAGGAGGGGCCACCTGATGGTACTTGGAGATGACGTTCATTTGGTGCTGGATGTTTTACTATATACATTTTTTCCCTGTGTATTTTTCCTGCCTTTGATCTGAACCCCAGAAATCAAATTGTTAGCCATGTGTTTTGAAGAGCAGCAAGTGCCTTCTTCAACAGTCATTTCGATACAAGCTGATTCATCTTGCTCTCGGATGCTGTGCAAAACTGATCAGCCTGTTAAATTGCCTGATCCAGAACTTATTTGCCATAAATTCTCTGCCTTCTGGTGCCTTTCTACGGCCCTCTCTGAATTGTTATTTCTCAGTATGAGAAAGACCCAGGGCCTGTCTGGAGAGCCAGTGGGTAAGGTGCTTGCCACCAAGGCTACCAATGCGAGTGTGTCCTCTGTGGTAGGAGAGAACCAAGTTCTGCAAGTAAATAGGTATCATCTTAAAAATTCTTTCAAAAGAAATGGAAGCTGTACCAGACGGTAGCACAAATTCAAAGGTGCCCAGCCTCGTTTTATCTTGGGATCCCTGAGAGCAACCACGTTACAAGTCTGATGTTTTTCTAAGTGAGAGGGATGCATCAGGAGACTACCCCTCTCCTCCCCTCCCCTCTTCGTTCATACTTGGCTGTTCACAAGAAGATTGAATGAGGTTTATCTTTGAAACAGTGAGTGGCTTTTCTACCTGCCATACCTTGATCACTCATATGAGGTGGCGTTTCAATGTCACAAATAACTTTCCTTGACTTTTTTTTTTGAAGCTTTAATTTGGTACATTGATACAAATATTTTGTGTCTTCCCATCAAGTCAGGGAAGGGTAACGTACTTGTAATCTTAGTACTTGGAGGCTAAGAAATGAGGATTAAGAATTCGAAGCCAAGTCTGGGCCACACAGTGAGACCCTGTCTCAGAATTAAAAGAAAAGAATGTTTGGTGGCTGGCACATTTTCAAAGTCCTAGTACCCAGTCCAGTGCCTGGTATAGAGCAGGTGATAAGATTTATTTTATGAATTTTACCTTGCTTAGATGTATTGGGAGGGTTTCTTCCTCCTCCTCTTTCTCTCTTTCTCCTCCTCTCCCTTTCCTTCCTCTTCCTCCTCCCCCCCTTTCTTCTACCATGGAATTGTCCTGAAAGCCAGTTAAATCAAGAAAAAACAGATTTTTGGTATTTCCTCCTCCACACGCATACAGTCATGCACTGATAGCCATATCCCTCCCTCCCCTGCACTCCCCTTCCCCCCCAAAAAACACTGGAAGGCAGAGGCAGGAGGATTACAAATTAGATTTAGGGCTAGCTTGGGCTGTTTGTGGCCTTATTTTTTAAAAAATCCAAATAAATAAATAAAATGCAAAAGCTTCAAGAACATACTTTGAAATCAGGCAGCTTGCAACAACCCAGACATAGCTATTTTACAGTGACTGAGCAGAACGTGAAGTCACCTGGGCTAGGTGAACTTCTGCTTTGCATTGATACTAAAATCATACAGTGAGTTAGCATCTAGATGTGTGGTGATCTGGAGCGAGGATGGTGGTGACAGCGATAGCAATGAGTATGCCACAGGTTGTACACCTGTTCTGCTGTTTGGGAGCTAGCCCTGTAACCATGTGCAGATTACACAGGCCCTGCGAGCCCTCTTCTCAACTGTGACAGAAGGTATTCTGTGCACCGTGCAGTTGCTGTGAGTGGTGTGGGGAAGCTTTTCTTGTAAGGTACTTAGTAGTAATGTCCTAGGAAGCATGGGATACATACATTTCCCTGTCTGCCACCCACATTTTCTTTCTTTCTCTCTTTCTTTCTGTCTTACTTTCTTTCTTCTTTCTTTCCATACCCTAAGCTTCCTCCTTGGTTTGTGTTCCCTTTGAGACATTTTATTTCAGGCCTTAAATTAAAAACATGGAATCATGCACTGGTGTGACTTGTCCCTAAATGTCTTTCAAACTGGTCCTTTGATTGAGCAAAGGTTTTACGGTGGAGGGAAGCACTTAGGAAAAAGATCAGTATGTGCTGGTTACATAGCTCAGCTACCCAGTGTTCCTGGAGCCTTGTTTTCCAGCCCCAGCACCGCATAAACTGGGTGTGATGACACATGCCTGTCATCCAGCACTAGGGAGGTGGAGTCAGGGGGATTACAAAGTCAAGGTCGCCTTTGCTACATAGTGAGTTTGAGGCCAGCCTGGGACAACCAGAGGTTCTGTGTTTTCAAACAAGTAAACAAACTGTGGCATAAGCAAAACAACTGGAAACTGACAAGCTGACAATATGCATCCAAAACACAGACACAGGTCTCTCAAGAAAGAGTTGCCTGTATAACTTCTGAAACTGGTGGTTTTCGTTGCACACAGATAGTATGAGCAACAGTTAAAGTTGAAAATCAAAAGAATAATTTAAACATTTATTTATGTGTGTGTGCATGTGTATGCACGCATGCAAGTGCCCATGGGTGCCCATGTGTGTGTAAGTGTGCTACAGCATATGTATGGAGGTCAGAGGACAGCTTGCTGGAGTAGGTTCTTCCCTTCTACCATGTGGGTTCTGAGCATTGAACTCAGGTCATCAAGCTTGGTGATGAGCGACTTCATGGCTTAACTATCTTACAAGCCCCGAAAAGATTATTTAGAAACAGGAAATACCAGCTTTGAAAACTGTTGTAATTTGTCACTGACCCAATTTAGTAGTCAGTATTCTCGGTGTGTTCTGATAATAGCCTACTTCCACACTCGTAAGTACAATAACACCAACAAGCCAACAAAACAAAGGTCTGTGCTTTTCAACCCTATCCTTTCTTACTGTTCAAACATAAAGACATCATATTTTCATGAGAATCTGAATTGTTGTAAATTAGACACGAATCATTTCTGGACATAAACACACATTTAAAATTCTAAAAACCGTCAAAAATGCCTTGAATCAACGTTGCAGATGTATCCCACTCACGGAGGGTCTCCCCTACCGCTGGCAGTCTGCTGCCAATTGTGCCGTGAGTCATTAGTGTGGCTCTCTATTGTGCAGTGTGTGGTATGTGCAGTGTGTGGTATGTGCAGTGTGTGGTATGTGCAGTGTGTGGTATGTGCAGTGTGTGGTATGTGCAGTGTGTGGTATGTGCAGTGTGTGGTATGTGCAGTGTGTGGTATGTGCAGTGTGTGGTATGTGCAGTGTGTGGTATGTGCAGTGTGTGGTATGTGCAGTGTGTGGTATGTGCAGTGTGTGGTATGTGCAGTGTGTGGTATGGATCTCTATTGTGCCGTGTGTCATGTGTATCTATTGTGTCGTGTGTCGTGTGCCACTCTGTTGTGTTGTGTGTCATGTAGAACTCTGCATTCCTAGCTTCGTCTCCTCATTTCTTTTGTCTGATCATTTATATTTCTTTCAACACCTTCTTTTTCATTGTTAGGGACCAAAATGACCCAGGTCCAAGCAGGCTAGGGTGTCCCTTGCGACCTGTCCCGTGATTTTAGAGGTTCTCTTTCCTGTGTCCTCTTCCTCTTTCCAGGGAGGTTTGGGGCTCTTAGTAAACTGAAAATCCCAGTGGGAATGAGTTCAGTGCAGAATGCTGTCTCTACGGAGGGCCAGGAGACTCTTGATGCTGGGGAAAATGAAGAGATATGGGTGGCAATTGTGCCGTGAAGGAATGGTTGAAAGCATCTGTCTCAGGATTTGGGGCATGCTTCAGCAAATATGGCTTCAGTTCACTGCTTGCTGAGAAGAGTCTATCACAATGGTTAGAAAAACAATGAAAATGGCGTTTTCCATAAATGTTATCTAGGAAATTGCATAAAATTTAGTTTCCAAGAAACACTTCCAAAGGGGGGAGAGAGAGAGAAGGAGGAGGAGGAGGAGGAAGAGGAAGGAGAAGAAGGGAGGAAGAAGTAAGGAGAGCAGATACAAGGCAAAGACTAAAACAGGTGGCCCTCATGCTTGCTTTGGCAGCACATATACTAACATTGGAACAATACAGAGAAGATTAGCATGGTCCCTGTGCAAAGATGACAGGCCAATTTGCGAAGCATTTCGTATGTGTATCATTTTAAGCATAGGGCCATTCTCTCTATTCTGGGTTCATGAGCTGATTGATCTTGACACATGGCTGACACCTTTAGTGGTACAGTGCCTTCGTCTCAGTATCTAGTCTGGCTACTCAAGCTCTTTGCCTCATGCCTCTTGTTACCTTTTGTATGCCTGCTTCATTGATTGTGAACATTTCAAAAGAGGAAAGAGAAAGGAAGGAGGTGGAGGCGAACATCAAAAGTAGCCCATCCTCCCCCTTGTCAGCAGTATTTACGAAACACTGAGAGAAAGGATGGGTAACAACCACTTAGACGAAGTTCTCAGTGACAGCTGAGCATTGGCCTGGTGGGCAAAAGTGCTTACTGTAGAAGCCTGATGATTTCAGTGTGATCCTCAAAGACCCGGGAATATCTTTTGCCAATGCTTTTCCCACTCCTGTGGATGGCGGCTAACTAATGGGTCATAATTAAACGTTGCATTCAGTTTAGTGTTTGATTATGTTAACATGAAATCGTATTGCTCTCAGCTTCCTTACAAGTAAGCTATTGATGTTTGCTGTGACGCTCATGCCAGGAGGTGCCGGATGAAGGGATGGCAAGCTGTGACTAATTATTGGCAATGCTATTTGGACACATTGGGCTAATCCTCTGTCATTTACTGAAAAAGCCTTCCTTCGATGAGGTCAGTTTGTCCCAGCAACACTTTTGTGACATCTGAGAGTACTTCCTGTTAATTTCAATAGATTTTTACAATTCTGCAAAAATGTGTCCAAAGCAAGTTTTAATTTCACCTTATTTATATAAAAATACCCTGGCTTGTACAGTATTTCCCTCCTACCTTCCTCTTTGGCAAGAGAAAAATGAAAGAATGCTGTCATGCTATGAACCCAGTTTTTATTTTTCCTTCATGGGAACCTTCAACTGAAGACTTACAATATAGCTTGTCCCTATAGATAGAGACAGCATTCTTATGGATGCAGTCTACAACTGAATTAGTAATAAAATAAAATATATCCTGACACCTGCCTCTGAGAAATAATTGTAAGGAGAAGTTATAGAATTTTAACCTAGCTCCTATAACAAAAGTATTATTTCCAGTGTACTGTGTTCATATTGAACTCCTTAAGTTTAGGGACGAACAAATCTCTATATACCCTACAGTCCAGAGGTGGAAACACATAGTGAAAGACATGGATTTTAACCAGCTACTTAGTTATAATTGCACAGTGTAGAGGTGGAAACCCATAGTAAAAGACACAGACTTCAACCAGCTGTTAGTTAAAATTGCATGACTTCTCTGGATGTCAAGAATTTCATCTAAAGAATAAGAGTTGGTGTTTATGGACTTACTCTTTGGTAGGCATTTATAAGCACATTACATTAATTGTTTCAATTACTTTCATGACACCTATACCTGTGTCATACCTGTAATTAAACCACTTGTGTAAAATAAGACTGATAGCTGAATAATTTGGTCAACTTCCCAGCTAGTGTTGTGGGGGTCATGATATGAAGGCATATTTTTGACTGGCTCTCTGACTCTAGGCTGTAGCCTGTATTGTTGATGTTGCCCTCTGGGGCTGGTTAGGTTGGACTACAGTGATGTCACAGCTTGGCATGTTACTCCAGAAGAGGTTTACAGATGACTGTGTCAATAGAAGGGGGTAGACCCTGTATTCATCAAGCCCCCAAAGGCTCAAATAACAAACTGGACTGCCTAATTTTTCTCAAATATGGACTCTTACTCAGGGGCTGCGCTTAGTAAACACCAAGTGGATGATGGCTTAGCTTATTCTATGTACTAATACATAGACTAGTACAAATTCTAGAACTTTTTCTTCTGTATGTTGCATGGTCATGGTGTTTTATCACAGCAACAGAACAGTAACTGGTATAGCAGATAAGTGCTGTGTCACCAAGTTACACCCTCACCTGTCCCAAAGTTCCATGAGTCTTAATAAACTCCTTAAGTAAAATGGGACTTCCTTACACAAAGTTGAAAAAACACCCCAGGGCTTAGGACAAATTTGAAACATAAACCAATCAGTTTTGAGTTCTCTAGAGAGAACTGGAGCTCTTCACAGAAAGGGCTGACTCTAAGGCTGAAGCAAAAAATATAAAAAATTAATCTAGATGAGCCTTTGTCCCAGAGAAGGGGGCTTTGTCAAAGGGACCCAGAGTCAATGGGCAGGGTTCCTAATGGCATGTCTGAATAATTGGAGCAACAAAATAATTAAGATAGTAGTGAATTATATGACAAAGAATAAAATACAGCACTGTAATGATATGAATAAATTTTGATTATAGACTAAGTATTGGGAGAACAAACCAATCTTCTATTCAGAAGAATGCAACTGGTTTGTGTTGGTATCCTTCCCTCGAAGAGGTCAAACATGATACCCTCCTTACATGTGGGCTGCTCATGAAAGTTCCTTACTGAAGAAGGCAGTGTCAGGCAGAGGTGGGGCCTGGGCAACCCCACCTCAGCTAACAGAACTGGGACGACGCTTGCAGTAGTCAGCCCTATTGGTCATGATAAGTCACACACATTCATTGTACAGGTCTGTGATCAGGTGTGGCAAGAATGGTACTTGGGTTCTCTGGTCAATAGCCTTCAGTCTTCTGTGGTCAACAACTTTCAGTCTTCTGTAGTCAACACCCTTCACTCATGTATCCCGTGCAATCATGAGAAACACAGGCTCAAGCAATCACTAGGAAGGTGATCCAAGAAAACATCACAGCCAAGAGAAGCCAAGGACAGGTTGACTGGAAGCCCTGTGACAACAGAGATTGGATCTTAAAACAAGAAAGGAAAGTAGGATTAAGCTAAGGAAACCCAAATAAATCATGGACTTTATTTGGGAAATAGTAATGTACTGAATAGAAGTATAGTAAAACTGGCTTGTTTGATAGGACAAATGTGGCACACTAAGGATGCTCATACTAGGGAAAATGAATACAGGCTGGCGGGGAACTCTTCTAAAATTTTAAAGTTTGCTTTAAAAAAAATCCCTCTCCTCCATCTAAAATCTCCTATTTACTTCTTCTTGCTCTCTTTCAAATCTGTGTTCTCTTTTTATTGGTTGTTGTTACATGTGTGTATGTATATACACACTACTGCTAACTATAAGCTGCTCAGTTTGTATCATGTAACTTGTGTATGTTGTCAGGGCTGACCTGAGTTGGCTTTGGGTGCCTAGTCAGTGTCTCTTCCCTGGGGAAGACTCTCTCCCCCACTCTCAGCATCCCTTCATTGCCTGGTTCTTTGTGCTGGACTGAGGTCTCTAGGGTCTTCCCTTGTCACTTTCCCATGTCTCTTGTTGCCGTTCTTGTTCAGCTTACGTTTAGACAGTCATGTTGGTGAGATTGTATGGGTGTGGCTTCTGAAAATATATTATAACCTCCCCAAATAAAGTTTAAAAAAAGTTTATAAGCCATTTGGATTTGTTTTCCCTTTCACCGTGTCATTATTATCCTTGCAGGGAAAGTTTTGAATATTTTCTCTTGGTTTTGACCCAAACAGGTGTAAAGAACTTGACTAGTGTTGGCACATGATAAACACAGAGGCAAAATAACTGGGAAGAACCATTGCTAGGGAGTCAAGGAGGAAGTGTGGCTTGTTATTTGCTTTTTAACAGTGCTGGCTGCCACCCCAGTGAGATTATAGGCTAGTTACTCATTGGGCTGAACACTGGTGAGTCTAGGCATAGCAACAACAGCGTATAACACAGTAAGGGCCTCATAAAGCACAGTTTTATAAGCCATCAGAAGAATTGTGTTTTTACAACAACAAGCTGTAAAACTTCGGTGCCTTGGATTATGCTTTAAAGGCCAAATCAAAAACCAGGAACTTGAGTCAGCAACAGTCCGTCCATCACAAGAGAAAACCCAGACAAAGGAACAAAAGTCTGTCCAAGACAAATGTCTTTCTCTGCATGAATATAAATGCCAATTAAAATTCTTCTGAATACAGAAGAGGATGGGTAAAATAATCATTTATATTATCATTATGTCTCAATCATCTGCTCTCACCTTCCACAATGGTTAGATACGGTTATCTACCTAGAGATGGTGGACATGCAGAGATGTTGGAAGAGGGGTGTCAGTATTACAGGGGCTAGTGTTGACAAGTCCCATTGTTGTCAAACTGACTGTTCAGTACCATTTACCAAGATTCCTTTGTGTTTTCCTTCTTTTGTTTCTGAGAGTGGTGGTGGTATCTAGGGTCTCAGGTAGGCTTGGTTATCCTGGAACTCACAGTGTAGCCAAGACTGACCTTGACCTTCCATTTCTCATTCTCCATCTACCTCTTGAGTGCCAGCATTTCAGGGGCACACCATAATGCCTAGCTCTATGCCACGCTGGGAATTCAAACCCAGGGCTTCATTCGTGCTGGGCAAACATTCCACCAACTGAGCTACATAGCTAGCTTTTGTGATTTTCACTAAACATTTCAGCACTGTTTCTTACATTTAGAATAGAGTCGAGCGACTTAAAACATAGAAGATGGAAATATATACGTCTATATAAACGTGTTACATTCTTTTCCAATTGCTTATTTTGATAGATGGGTTCCTTTCTCTAGAAGCACACTTTAAAGCAATATATTTAAGGAAAATGCTCTAACATTTTCATTTTTTATGAAACATATAAGAAATAAGACTTTATATATTTAATGATTGCCGTTGCCTTTTGTCAGCCCTGAAAATAGAGCGATACTGGCAGTCTTGCCTGTTTACAAATACTTTACTACGTTATGTAAAACCTTTTCTCAGGGGCAGGAGGTGTCTCCCTGTGGACCTAGACTAGTCTCAAATTTTTGATCATCTTATCTTAATCTCCTCTGTGTATTGGTGTGTGCCACCTTGGCTGTCCTAGTTTTATTTCTGTTGCTGTGACAACATACTTTGACAGAAGCAACCTAGAGGATAAACGGTTTATTTGACTTTAAATTCCACATTACAGTCCATCATGTCAGGGACATTGAGGTGACAGTTTGAAGCAGGTAGTCACA